CGAGCCCGCGTACCGCCATGTGACTGACCCGACCGAGAAGCAGAAGTGCGAGATCAGGTTACGGTCCGTCGGCGATAATGGCCGGTGCAGGTGGTGCGCCCGAAAAAGAGTGTCCCGAGAGTCCTTTTTCTCTTTCCTGAGAGAAAGGAAGAGGGGGAGGGCACACACTGTTTTTGTTCGTGATTGTTTTTCGACTGCGCGGAAAGGCGGGGTTGGAAGACGGAATAGAGAGTTCGTTGGGCGTGGCCCGAGTGGACGGTCGTGCAATAAACGCTGCCTTCAACCAGACTCTAGCTCTTCCTTCTCGTTGCCAGCGCGCACTTGGATCACCAAGGGGCTGTCGATACTAACAACATCACAACATCGAACTTTACTGACGGTGTAGTGACAAGCTATGGAATATTTTAAGCAGCTGGGCTTTCTTTAAGGACATACGAAGAACATCACTGGAGCGTTCTTGCGTCGCGCTCTGATCAACCGATATACATTTGCCGCTACTTGAATCAGAATCCAATTCTAGGTATGCAAAGAGCCAGAGAACCAAAACTTCCCGAACAACAACGCGGACCTTGCAAAAAACCGAGGTATCTGACCATTTTAAAGAAAATTGAGGTAATAATTTTAAAACAAGCATTAACTATAGGGCCCATATGGCGAAAACAATAAACAGGACTACATTAAATTATGTTTTAAGAGGTGTCAGAGCATATTCAACGGCTTTGAAAACTTCTGCAGATATCCCGGATGAACGGATGTGGCTTGTTGCCGGTTGCGGCTTGTTGCCTGTTTTAAAGAGAAAGCCTCAAGCGCCTCACGAAACACGTGCATTGATTGTCGCCCTCAATTCCAATGATAGAAAAAAAAGCGTCACGCGATGACGTCAACGAAACACGGCATCATGTTGGCTCAGATCAGCACAATCAGTGACGCCACCATGACAGCACAATGACGTGCCATAACGTGGCGTCATCAAATGACAGCGTCGTTTAGGCAAATGCAGGCTAATGACGGAGGCAGTGCAAAACCAAAGGGAGGTACAGAAAGCTCGAAATGCCTCTGATCTATAAGGCAGTGCATAACCACGCCAGGTGCAGGAAGCGCTCATAGAGATGCGGGGAATTGATTGATTGATTGATTGATATTTGGGGTTTAACGTCCCAAAACCACCATATGATTATGATAGACACCGTAGTGGAGGCCTCCGAAAATTTCGACCACCTGGGGTTCTTTAACGTGCACCCAAATCTGAGCACACGGGGCCTACACCATTTCCGCCTCCACCGCAAATGCAGCCGGCCGCAGCCGGGATTCGAACCCGTGACCTGCGGGTCAGCAGCCGAGTACCTTAGCCACTAGACCACCGCGGCGGGGCGGAGATGTGGGGGGAGGATCAATACATCGACCTTAGGAGAGAAGAAATAAGGTGGATTTCGTTTTGGGTCGTCGTAAGCAAATGCATAACGAACCATGGCAGTCTTTATTATTTATTCAGTTCATGCATGTCGCGCGTAGAAAATAGTGTCGCTAAAGAAAGTAATCGTAAAAAAAAAATAAGCGTAAATGTTGCATTGTTGACGTATGAAGGGGTCTGTCAATCCTCATGACAAAAAAAAAAGAAATCGATCAAAAAAACGAGCTTGTTATGGTATTTGATCAAAGAAGTACCAATAGAAAATTGTGAGAAAGAAAAGCACACGAACGTCAAGTTGAGGAAAATCAGATGAACCAAAAAATGACGACAGCAAAGTGCTCCCAGGAACGGTGAATTTATCAGCGTTTGATAAACTTTGCGGGCAGTAAGAGTCGATCCGGCGCCCGCGTTAAGTCAATCGCACTGCAGGTGATTGCGCTTTACAGACTAAAGTTATACTGCTCATCAAACGCTACCTAAGCTGCTGATGACCCTAAGTGAATGCAAGCTCTGCCGCGGTGGTCTAGTGGTTAAGATACTTGGCTACTGACCCGCAGGTTGCGGGATCGAATGCTGCGGCGGCTGCATTTCCGATGGTGGCGGAAATGTTGTAGGCCCGTGTGCTGAGATTTAGGTGCACGTTCGAGAACCCCAGGTGGTCGAAATTTCCGGAGCCCTCCACTACGGCGTCTCTCGTAATCATATGGTGGTTTTGGGACTTTAAACCCCACATATCAATCAATTAATAGCTGAATGCAATAATAACGGTTAACATGACGGCACTTGACGAATGCACTTCTAAGCACTTTGTTCAATGGCAGATGACAAAGGAACTTGCGTGTTCGCGTGAGTACGCTAAATATTGATTGAAAATTATTCGCCTCACTGTATTTATTTCAAGACAAAATCTTTGTGCATCAATGCAGATTTTTTATACCGCTCTGCCTTTCTTTTTCTGGTTTATTGTTCTGGTTAAGTTGTGGTCATTTTGTTACTAGGGCTCGTGTTTGGTACCCACCCGGCTTCGGCGCTTTCGCTTCAGTGAGATATAAACGCAGAAAAAAAAATGACCGCAGTTTCCCGGGTGGGAACACTGGTTAGCATGCGGAGCATATATGTTGAACTGTGGTAAATGTGGTTTGTAATTTACATCGCCGCGGTGGTCTAGTGGCTAAGGTACTCGACTGCTGACCCGCAGGTCGCGGGTTCGAATCCCAGCTGTGGCGGCTGCATTTCCGATGGAGGCGGAAATGTTGTAGGCCCGTGTGCTCAGATTTGGGTGCACGTTAAAGAACCCCAGGTGGTCGAAATTTCCCGAGGCCTCCACTACGGCGTCTCTCATAATCATATGGTGGTTTTGGGACGTAAAACCCCACATATAATCAATCAATCAATCAATCAATCAATCAATCAATCAATCAATCAATAAATGGTTTGTAATTTGCGGCATGCGCGTGTGTTATAAGTGAACACGAGTGAACACGCACGCACGTATGCTGCGAAAGACGATGTTTATTGATGAGACGCCCTAGGTATGTTGAGCAAGATGGATTTGTGGTCCACGTCCGATGTCGCTGGCGAAAATGTATGCTAACGAATCCGCAAACACACTTACTGACGTCCCTTCCAATAGCGTTAGCCAATGTGTTGGTGGAACCACGACGTATGCGTTCCGCATCGCGAGCTCTTCTCAGCGCGGCCTCGTCCACGGACGAAGTGTCTTCGGAATTGCTTGCGGTTCCGCCAACACATTGGCTGACGCTATTGGAAGGGACGTCAGTAAGTGTGTTTGCGGATTCGTTAGCATACATTTTCGCCAGTGACATCGGACGTGGAGCGACCACACAAACCAACCGACGAAAGGTGGCGCCCCCCCCCCCCCCCCCACCGACACTCGGTTATTTATAGCGAGCGCCGGCCCCGGCCTGCGCATGCGCGCGGTAGCATACAGCTGGCACACGTAAAACTAAAGATCGCGCGGCGCGTGAAGGGGAGAAGCGAGCGCAGCGCGCTGTGTTCAAAGGAGGAAGGAAAGCACAGATGGCTGGCAGAGGAGGAGGGGAGGTTGCGGATGGCGACGGCGCATGACTAGCCCCTAGTATAACAGGCTCCGCATGTAAATAAAAAAAAACGCGCCCGCATACCGACAATTTCACATCTTCAAAAACGCCGGGTGGTTAGCCTGACTCAAAAATTTCTCACCACGACAAGCACCATATTCATGTTTATACAGTGCAGCACCAGTCATAAAACTAATTGTTTATAGGGTCCGTAAAATGCCTCAGATAACACAAAACCAAGCGAATTATTCTCTCTTGGCGTTTCTCGTCGTTTAGGCACTCATCGTCACTTCGGAACGCTGATTCACGTTACCTCAGAGCACCTACTCTAGACTGGTCCACATGTATACGAGAAATGTCAGTTGTGAATTGTCTCCCACCTGCTTTACCATGCAGTCGCCCACTCTTTCCTTTTTGTCTGGCATGACTATCGTCTTCGATCAACTGATTTCACTTCACTTAGTAGGTTTCCAACTGCAACGGCGGAAACAACAGCGTGTAGCGGGAAAGCGCGAAGTCCTGCTGGACTCTACTCTTAGCCCTGACATTGTCCGTAAATTTTATGACAAAAGAAATTGGGCTCGTAGAAATGGTAGCCAAACCGAAAGAAATGACTCTCTCGGCACTGAACTCAGAGTACTTTAGGGGCTCTTTAAGGTAATTTGTATCTTATAATATTCATGTGCACGTGCCTGATTTTTGGTTGCACAAGCGGCCAGTGAACAAATAAACTTACAGACAACAATGAAATAAGCAATGCTCCACCCTAACCTGAGTGGCGACGTTAGTGAGGTTGAGGACCGTGTTGTATACTGTCTCGCCCTCTGTTTGCGTGGACACTGCGTAGTGGGCAAGCTTCAGGTACTTGGGGCTTCCCTGGGGGTTCTGCTCGGTCCAGCCTCCCACCATCGTTGAACCGGTATAGCCACTTCCCAGCAAGGCGCTTGTCCACAAACCAGCCACCAGAAGCAAGCAGGTCTGCTTGATCGCTATCATGGCAGCCAAAAGCTTTCAACACGTCCTGAAACAGAAATACCCCGTAGATGTTAAGGTTAGACTTTATTTTCATCGAAACATACCCTGGCATACAGCAGGTGTATACTACCACCTCACGGCAGCAAATAACCCACTGCCATCGCCACTACTACTCCACACTCGGCTATGCTATTTTTTGTGTGGCATAGACAAGCGACGGTTCCAGCCTGGTTACCAATCTGGGTCTTGCATCTATGAAGTTCCTGTCATTTAACCATTCAGGAGGAGGTAAGTTTATTAACAGGAAGGCAGAGAGGTCGGCCTGAGCGACAGCTTGCTCTAGCCAGTTTGTAAAGAAAGCAAAAGGAACATTTTGGACATCGGCTATATACTGAGGATGACGCCCGCAAATGTTAGTCATGCGGACGATAGAGTGGTCGTTAACCAATACTCAGGAATTATACTTATTTATTGCCGCAAAGAGAGCACAGTGAGTGAAAAACAAAACAAAGGGGGTTAGGGATGTCATAGTTGAATTCGGGAGAAAGAAAAATGGCAGATCCCACGTACAGTGGGAATCGATGATATGCGAAGCATGAATTAGAAATTTTGATATGTCACTATGAATCGGCAAAACGTTTTGAGGTGGAGGTAAATGATGCCGTACATGACTTCCGTGTCATCATTATCATGTTTAGATGTCTTCGCCACCTATTCACGTCACGTGATACCAAATTCAGTATACGTGCAGCTAGTAAAACGGCCGCGAGAATGCTATGAGCGTTGTATGTTGTCATGTTCCCACATGACACGCGTGTCAGGATTTTGATGTTCGCACTAGTAAAATATTTCGTCCCTATTGCCGTCTCGGAACACCAAGTTTGGTATATGTGAAGCTAGCAAAACGGCCGCGAGCGCATCATGAAGGGCCCAATATACTCCATTGTAGCGTTGACGTGCGCGCACGCTGGGCACAGCGACGCTACGTTAGCGAAACGTGAGCACTCCATAGTCTGACACCAGGCGCGACCAGCGTCCATCGGCGCGGCCCGACGGCAACCGGCGCGAACTGAGACATGCTGCATTGCGCGCCGATGCCACAGAGTAACATTACACTATGCCGATGCGTTACCCAGACACCACTGCGTCTCTCTCTTTTGGTGAGAGACGCTGCCGGGCAACGCAACGCTGCGGACGCGCTTCACGTCGGCTCTGCCTTTTATGAATGTGTTCCGCAGTTTTATCAAGTCAAAAACCTGGAAATCGACCACCGCCGGATAGAGCGGATCTATCCGAATGCTTTGACACTAAAACCTAGGTAAGAGACTGTTTTTGAAGCTTTTTCGATGTAAAAAACCACCCGTGTTACAAGTGTGCCCAGCTAAGCCTACACCGACAAGGCCGACGCCGGACTCGGGAAGGGTGATCAACGGTGCCGAGGTGTAAGCCAAGGGATCGGACGCACCTCCGAACTGGACGTAGATGATGCAGAAGTGAGGGAAACTCCAAGTAATGATACCAGAGAGGACGATAGCGATCCAACGAGGCGAGACGCTGACGGCGACGCGGAGGGCTAGATCGAAGTCACGTATAAAAGGAAGGGCCGTGTGAGCTCTGGCGAAGAGACAGCACAGAAAGGCACCCACTCGAGAAGTCCAACGCGCAGAGGTGGGAAGAGCATCGTGAGTAAGATTTTACAAGCAAGCAAGATGCCAAGGCTACCTGCAGATGACATCAAGATAATCGTCAGACCAAGAGACGGACTGAGAATTGGACCCACGTGCAGAGCTAGCCTTGACGAAGCGATACGGCAAGAAGCAGGGGTGAGCAACGACCAAATTTTCACGATCTGCCCCAACCCTACACAAAATATCCTGGTGAACAGCACACCGGATGAGAAGACGACGACGAAATTCGTCAAAATCAAGGATCTAAAAATCAACGGAAGGAAGTACGAGACCAACGCGTACGTCTCGGCACTGGAACACATGACCAAGGGGATAATCCGCAACATTCCCCTGAAGTACACACATGATCAGCTGATGCATGCCCTGGTGAACGCGAGGAACCCTTCATTGGCGTACGCCAAGAGACTGGTGAGCAGGACCACCGTGATACTGCTGTACGAAGGCAACAAGGTCCCCATGTAGGCTTACTTCAACAGCATCATGATGAAAGTTTCCCTCTACCGGAAGCAAATGGACTTTTGTAAAGAGTGCGGGAGGCTCGGGCACAGGCCCGATGTGTGCCCAAGACCAACAGACAAGTTGTTCCCGGCGTGTGGTGACAAAAATCCTACCAGAAACCATGAATGCACTCCCAAGTGCAAGCTCTGCGGAGACGCACACCCCACAGCAGACCGGACATGCAGGGCTAAATTTAAGGCGCCATACTTCGTAAAGCGACGAAGGTGGGCTGCGAGAAGAAACGAGGAAGAACTCCAGCGGGAAGCCGACTCACCAGACCAGGACACCTGGGGAAGCAGCAACACACAACCAGCCCGTCAACCCACATCAAGGTCCAGATCCAGATCGAAGTCTAGGCTGAGAGCCTGGGGACTACGTCGCTTGGGGTCAAGGTCCAGAAGCAGACCCAGGACCAGGAGCGGGCGGAGATCCACCTCGAGGGGAAGGACGCCCGACGCGACAACGAAGCAGCGAGGAGAACAGAAGATGCCAGGCAAGGTGGGCTGGTCAGACGTAGTGACCAATCGCGATTCGGCAAGGTACGGCAATAATAGTAACGCTAGAGATAATTACAGAGACATAGAGAAACGCATAGAGGAATGCAGAAGGGAAAACAAGCTACTCAGACAGGAGCTAGAAAAAGCAAAAAAGCGAAACAGAGAATCAGCTAAAAATTGATGAACTACAGAAAACACCTAATGAAATACTCATGAAAATGCAGATACAGACGTCGCCTCCGCCAACCGCCATCGCGGCCTTCTCCACGCCAGCGACCAAAACCACAGGGGAGAGAGAGATTGAGGAGGTAGAAATGGTAGCAGTGGAAACACAGCAACCAGGCGCCAAACGAAAAATCCCACTGACGAAGACCAAAGAGCAAAATGACTCCGAAAAAGAGGTCAAGAGGCCCCGTTCTAGCACGAAAAAAAAACAGACGTCCTCGAGGACATGATAAACAAACTGTCACACAAAATGGAGAAAATGTTCGAGTTGCTGGTCGGGCGACTTAGCGACAGTGAGGCGGAGAGTAAGGCACTGGCACTAAAATACGACAAGTGGCTCAAAGAGCTAGAGAAGAAAATTTCTGAGATATGGCGGGCACCAAAATGAGAAAACTTGTCATCTCGCAGTGAAACTGCCGAGCTTTTTTAATAAAAAAAGCATCTATGGCGCAACTAATCAAAATCACCACAAAAAGAAAAACACCTGGCGTAATCATTTTGCAGGAGGCATTCGACCACGCCAAAATTGCCGGGTATGCCACCCACAAACAACGCACAGAAGGAAAGGGGAGAGACATAGTCGTGACCACATTAGTGAAGAAGGGGCTAGTTGCTATCCCACACATTACGAAGCAAGCCACAGATATCAACCACATTCTTATAGAAGTCGTGCCATGCAGCAAGAAGGAGAGCAGCACCTTTGTCCTAAACGTATACAGCAGCCCGTCTAAAAAGGGCCTAAAGCATAATTTCGAAGAACTAATTAACGAAACGATGAATATCGCAGGCGACAACCTACTTGTTATTGGAGGAGATTTTAACGCTCCACACATGCAGTGGGGATATGGGCACTCGTCGAAGAAAGGAAAAAACCTTGCCGACCTCATCGAGAAGGCCGAACTAACCATTCTGAATGAGCCAGCCTCGCACACCAGAATCGGCGTAGGTCCACGCAGGGACACCACGCCGGACATAACCCTCTGCAAGAACGCCGGGCGAATCACGTAGGAAAACACCTTTGAAGACCTGGGAAGTGATAACAGGTTCCTCAGCATCGCCCTAGGCAATCCTCCCACCAGGAATTGTGAACAGACAATCAGGCGCGTAGATTAGGATGAATTCCGCAAAAACAGAAACGAGAAAGAACAGAGACCCATCGAAAACACAGAAGAATGGAGCAGGGAACTTCTACGAGACGCAGAAAAAGCCACAACCGAAATGGAGTGGGATGACTGGTTGGCTCGACGAGAAGAGGAAGATGAAAGTGGCGGAACCCTCTCAATGCGGATGGACAGCAGGCTTTCACACCTTGTCGAAGCCAAAAAATCTATTCAGAAACGGCTGCATAGGCAAAATATTGCCCGCAGCTTCCCTCGGGGGAACACTGAGGAGGATGCGGAGCATATAATTGGTTAACGGGGTGTTAAAGTGCGACTTACTTGGGTCAATGGCTAAATTGGTTAACGTGGTTGTGAAATGGGGTGTTAAATTGCGACTTACTTGGGTCGATGGCTAAATTGGTTAACGTGGTTGTAGGAGGGGGTGTTAAATGAGTGAACACGTACACACGTATGCGAAAGGACGGCGCTGGTCGAAGGGACGTCAATCATTGTGTTTGTGGATTCGTTGGAATTCATTTCACCGCGACCTTCGACGTCGACGCGCCGTACAAACCAACCGACGAGCGGCAACTGAGCGAGCGAGCGCCGACCTTGAGTATATATACAGCGCGACGGCGCATGCACTGTCAGCTGTTGAATGTTCTCGAAGGAGAAGCGCGCGCGCGGCACAGATGGCGACGGCGCGACGGCGCATGCGCTGTCAGCTGTCGAATGTTCTCGAAGGAGAAGCGCGCGCTGCACAGATGGTGGGCGACGGCGCATGCGCGCGCGTCAGCTGTCGAATGTTCGAGAAGCGGTGCGGACGGCGCGGACGGCGCACTACAAGGCGCGAGTATAAGATGCTTCCGCATCTAAAACACAATCGAAATTTAAGGAGAAAACTCGCCGAGCTAAACAAGCACATCGAAACACACTGTACCCAGCCATGCCATCAGGAATGGGATGAAGTGTGTGATGCCATGGACGGCAACATAAACACAGGCAAGACATGGAAAATCCTCAAGCACCTGCTGGACC